TAACACAACTATGTACAGACGAATGACTAGTGAGGGAATGCTTTGTACAGATCAGTTTTTACTTCCAAATTACAGTTCTTTGGTGGATAGCCAAAAGAAGAATAAATAGTTTGAGGTAGTTAACCTCTCGAATACTATTCAACAGGTTATGGGCCCAGCAACCCATATCCGAGAACGACAAATTCTGAAGAATGGATCAGAAGAACCAGTCGGCTGCGGATAGCAGTCAGGAGAGCAGTCAGGCTACGGATAGTAGTCAGGAGAGAATGGAGTTCAGAAGGCGCAGACAAGCCTCCGGATCTAGGAGCGTGGATCGAAGCAGAACTTCCAGTGGTATCCGGAGTGGTAGTCCATCTGGTGTTAACTGGAGTGGCGGAGCAGCCAGTAACGACCGGCCCGGTGGAGCGGCCGGTAACGACCGGCTCGGCGGAGCGTCCGGTAACGACCGGCTTGACGGAGCGTCCGGTAACAATCGGCTCAGCGGAGCGGCCGGTAATGACCGGCTCAGCAGAGCGTCTGGTAACGTTCGGCTCAACGGAGCGTCCGGTAACGACCGACTCGGTGGTGAGTCGGGGAACAACTGGCTTGGTGAACCATCCGGTAGCAACCGGATCGGCGGAGTATCCGGTAGCACCCGGCTTGGCGGAATATCCGGTAGCGATCGACTCAGCAGAATAATCAGTAGTGATCAGATTGATGTATCGACTGGTAGAAACCGGAGCAGTGCCTTGGAATTTCCGACAATACAAGTAACCGCGGGAAATGGAATTCGGGTTGCGGAAACCAAAAACAGGATGGAAAATCCTATGGTACCAAATGCATCCACAGTGATGCTTATCGAACGCCGTAGTCAGCTTGTTGGTATATTTCAAGGAGATGAAAAAGAATTCACTCCTTGGAAATGGCGTCTTATGCATCACCTTGCAAGACTCAAGCTGGATTACACCTTGCTGCGTACTCCTCGCCAAGAACCATATGGAATATCAGACCCTTGTGCGTCAAAAGAGGAGGAAGAGCAACGACAGGCGTTGTATCAGAAACGCTGTGAGGATGATTGCGAGGCAATTGACGAAATCATCTTCACCATCGGTAATAAGCCTCTACAGAAACTGATGCATTGCCAGTATGCAAAAGAGTGCATGGATGCTTTATCAAATGCATACCAGAGGGGCGGAACACTGGTGGCAATTTCACTACGTCGCCAGTTGTTCAGATTGGGAGACCATCAATTTCGGACGTTGGAGGAATTATTTAAGGAGCATTCACGTCTCTGTATGGAGCTTGAATATGCAGATCCTCAAGCTACCCATATGGAAAAAGTTCAAACACTACTCGGAGCAATACCAGATCGCTTCAAGCATGTGATGGCGGCTGTCCTCATGCTTCCTGAGGCAGTTCTTAAAAAGAAACCTCTCGACGACTTACATCGTATGTTCTTAGATGCCGAGATAATTCAGCGACCACAGCGACAGGTGCCAAACGTGGCGATGGTGGTCAACCCAAAAGACAGCATCAAGTGTTTCGGATGTAATCAGATGGGGCACTACCGAAATAGATGTCCCAATGAAGCAAAGAAAAAGAAGTTCATAAGAAAGAATTTCAATCAACCACACATGGGAAAGAAAGATCGAGAACATGCTTTGATGGTTTCTACCAGACCGATAAACCGAAAACAATTTGTGATTGATTCAGGTGCTTCAAACCATATGATTAACGACGTGTCTATTATGAGTGATGTCGAAAATCTGGATGTTGATATGATTATCACTACAGCAAAAGAGGGAGAATCGATGAAAGCTACCAAAAGAGGATCGGTAGCTCTGAAATCTGTCATTGGAAGAAATAAAATAAAGAGTTTGAAGCTGTATAATTGTCTCTTTATTCCTGGGCTACAGGAAAATCTGATTTCCGTGAAAAGAGTTGTTGCTCTAGGGAAGGAAGTCAATTTTTTCAATAAATCTGTTGTCATTCAAGAGAAATCTGGTGAGGTTATTGCTAGAGGTCACCTTTTGAATGGCTTGTATTATCTCAATGTTTATGGATCCTCTGCCGAAAACAAAGCAATGTTGTGCAAGAATGACGATTTGATTCACTGGCATAAGCGATTTGGACATCTAGGACTATCAAACTTGGAGAAACTACATCGAAATTCAATGATTGAAGGATTTAATATTCAATCAAGTGAATTCAATAATTGTAAAATGCAATGTGATTCATGCTTGTTTGGGAAACAAACAAGAGAAAACTTCAAGAACTCAGATATGCCTCGCTCGAGCAGACCACTTGAATTAGTGCATTCTGATGTTTGCGGTTATTTCGAAGAATCCACCTTTGACGGATATCGATATTTTGTAACATTTATCGACGATTTCACGCATTTCACGGTGACATATCTTTTGAAACACAAAAGTGATGTACTGAATTGTTTTCAATTATATGAAGCAATGGCATCAGCTAACTTCGGTCAGAAGATAGCGTGTTTTCGTTCAGATAATGGCACTGAATACTATGGAAATGATTTCATACGATTTTGTGGAGATAAAGGAATACAAATGGTAGCAACTGTACCATATACTCCTCAACAGAATGGCGTTAGTGAAAGAATGAACAGAACTCTTTTGGATAAGGCACGGACTATGCTCCACGAGAGTAATTTGTCCAAGGAGCTTTGGGGAGAAGCCATATATGCCGCTACCTATTTGACTAATAGGTCCCCAACAAATGCTTTATTAGAACATAAAACCCCATATGAAATGTGGTTTAGAAGGAAGCCGAATGTTGATAAACTAAGGATTTTTGGTTGTAATGCATATGCTCAAATCCCTAAGGAGAAGAGGCAAAAATTAGACAAAAGGAGCAGATTGCTAAAATTCGTAGGATATGCGAACAATGGATATAGATTGTGGAGTGAACTAACGCATACCATAATAATATCCAGGGACGTGGTTTTCGACGAAGAAGTACCATCCACCGTTAATTGCAATGAAAACCATGAAAGCAATACTGCGGTCAGCAATAAAACTGACAGAGATACTGTCATTATTTCCCATGGAAGTCATCCAAGGGAGGAAATTATTGACAATAACCCAACAGCAACTACTGATGAAAATGGAGATGGAACCATTGATGAAAGTTTCGTAACAGCTAGCGATGATGATAGTATTACTGAAGCTGATCCAATTCAACAACAACAGGATAGTATTACTGAAGCTGATCCAATTCAAGAACAACAGGAATTACGAAGAAGTGAACGCACGCAACGCCCACCAAAATGGTTTGAGGATTACGAATCTGCATTTCTAGCAGATGGACAATTTCTAGATATTCCGCAAACAATTGAACAGTTAAAGCAGCGAAGTGACTGGAACCATTGGAAAGAAGCCATAATTCAGGAAATGAACTCCCTCGAGGAAAATCGAACATGGATTCCCGTAAATAAACCAGAAAGCCGAAAACCAATCAAATCAAAATGGGTGTTTACAATCAAAGATGATGGTCGGCATAAGGCCAGATTGGTTGCGAAAGGTTGTTCGCAGAAACCAGGTCTTGACTATCAGGATACTTTTGCACCAGTGGCCAAAATGAATAGCATTAGGGTTATGCTTTCATTAGCCAATGAACACAATTTAAGTATTCATCAAATGGATGTTAAAACGGCCTATTTATACGGAGAATTAAAAGAGGAAGTATTTATGGAACTTCCACCAGACGAATTTGGAAATTCCAGAATCGTTAAACTCCAGAAGTCCATATATGGGTTGAAACAATCTGGTAGGAGTTGGAATGATCGTTTTGATAACACAATGAGAAAACTTGGATTTATTCCTTTGAACAACGAATGCTGCATTTATAAAATGGCACAATATAAGCTCTATGTTGTTTTATATGTTGATGATGTGCTTATAATTGGGAAATCAGCAAAGGCTATTTGCTGGATCAAGGATAAGCTATCACATGAATTTCAAATGAAAGATTTGAAGGAAATATCGCATTTTCTCGGATTAGACATCAGAAGAGATATTGAAAACCAAATAACAGAAATTTCTCAAGTGGGATACACTAAGAATATTCTGACTAGATTTGGTATGGATAACAGTAAACCTATTGCAACTCCCATGGATGTCAATAACAAATGGGAAACTACAGAAGATCCACTTACTAAACATCCATATAAAGAACTTCTTGGATGCTTACAATATCTGGCTTTGTCATCTAGACCGGATATCAATGCAGCAGTTAATATTTTAAGTAAATTTCAATCACGTGCAACAGATATCCATTGGAGCGGATTGAAGCGCATTTTGAGATACCTTAAAGGAACCATGGACACAAAGATTGTTTATAAGAAACATCTGGAAGGACCAATACTGCAAGGATATGCAGATGCTGATTTTGGAAATGACGTAGAAGATAGGAAATCGATTTCTGGATATGTTTTCCAGGTATTTGGCAACATGGTTTCGTGGGCAACGAAACGTCAACCTACTGTGAGCCTTTCATCAACTGAAGCAGAATTAGTTGCTTTATGTACTGCAACTAAGGAAGGAATGTGGCTATCCAACTTGTTGACAGAATTGGAAGTGGATAACTTACCAATTGTCATATACGAAGACAACATCCCATGCATCAACTTTTCAAAGGAACCCCGAGAACACCAGCGGATGAAGCACATAGACATTAAGTTTGTTTTTATCAGGGATATTATTAAAAGAGGACATTTAAAGATAATTTACAAACCAAGCAATGATCAACCAGCAAATGCATTGACAAAGCCATTGTCAAAAATACAACATAACAAATTGTTCGAATCTTTAAACATAAAAATTGAAGGGAGGTGTTGAGTAAGGCAATTTTTATTACCAATACTTTTGAACCGAACTGTATAATGTTAACGCGGCTTAACCGTTTCTATCATTGCTATGTGTAATATTGAAGACATCGCTAACACAACTATGTACAGACGAATGACTAGTGAGGGAATGCTTTGTACAGATCAGTTTTTACTTCCAAATTACAGTTCTTTGGTGGATAGCCAAAAGAAGAATAAATAGTTTGAGGTAGTTAACCTCTCGAATACTATTCAACAGATTCTCCGGAGCTGGTTCACGCTTGAAGAATTTCTTTGTAGTACGTTCCACCATCTGATTGATTTTTCGGATGTTCTTTTCCAGTTTTGTGTGCAAATGGTCGATGAACGCCTGAAGGGATCGATCAAACTCGTCGTTGGACATCATTTCCGATGTGGATGGTTCACTTAAAAGATCAATTCTTTCTTCGGCAATATTTTGGATCAATTTCAAAGGTTTCACGTCCAACGTCTGGATGGGTTTCACTGTATTCACCAACTTCCTGTCGACATATTTGCTGCGTTGAATCTGCGAATCATTGCTAAAGTTCATGTTATCTGGTTCCGCTTGCTTAGCGAACAGTTTTCGTTTCTTGCCGTCATTCAAACGAGGATTAACCGGCTCGTTCTTCTGATTGCATTTGTCCGGAGAATTTCGCCTCGAGCTACGACTCAGCCTTGTCTGCTGACGTTGACAGTCTTGCTGGAGCGTTTCAAACACTCGCAAACGCTGAACATCCTGCACCTCAACCCTAACATCTGAAATTGACGGGGGTTTTACATTTTCCTTGTTGCTTCCAATCGAGCTGGTGTTGTCCAACATCTGACATCGGATATTGCGGTGCTTTTCGATTGCATCTCGATTATCACGTAATCGAGGAGATTGATCCTCCATGTTATGAGCGTTCAGGCTGTTGGCAGGTCCCGAAACAATCGAATCCAGTAAGGACACATTCAATAATCCATCGAGATTGGTTGGCGTTTGCGCAGCCGCGCGTTCAGCTGATCGTAGTCAACATTTGCCATTTTTTATTTCACGATGTTGAATCTTAATTTATAAATAAAGCACAAACGGTTGTCGAATTCACAATATTACAACAGTAATTATTTATCACACAAATCTAATAACTAAAACGCGACAAAATGGAAGGAAGTGGATTATTTTCCGACTAAAAGCACGTGAAGCGTGATTTTGAAAAGAATGTTTCTGGCTTGCTTTGATTTTCAGCTGATGATGAAATAATTTTATTTAAACACGAAACATTCTAGCGGTATCGGAATCAGTAGTCGAGCAAGGATTTGCCCCAAAGCTACACTGAGTCAACAATGGGATGGATTCACATTTATCGGCCCTCTAGCTGTGAAAAAGTGTAACACTCACGCGACAAGTCGCGCATAATAGCTTAAATATTATTTTTCGTAGCTATGAAACTATGTGATAGATACAAGAAACGGATATAAAATGTGTGTATGACACATAAAACCTGTCAATTTCACTTTCAGAGGGTCACAATTAGCGATTTTATGATCGCTGATTGCTCACTCAGCGTAAGTGCTCAGCGATCATAAAATCGCTAATTGTGACCTTCTGAAAGTGAAATTGACAGGTTTTATAAGTCAGACAGAAAATTTGCAAACTCTTCTTGTATCTTACAAAAACAAATAATCATTATAACATTAAAAATAGTATTTTAACTGAAATGAGCATTTCCAAGCTTGGTTGGAGACATGAATATTCCAATAAATTTAGCTGATAGTAATAAAAGTTTATTAGATTCGTATGATTATTTTACAGTGAACTCTCTACAACTCGATATTAAAGGGACCATCGAGTTATAAAACAACAATCCAATAGGAAATCAACATCGTGGTAGCCATGACCGGCAGGTGACAAAGGTTGCATTTTCCCAAATATATCATATTAACAATTTGATCCATTCATGCCTTTTCCAAATATTGCAATGGCGACCCGCAAAATATTGCTTCACACACCATCTAGCGTTGAAAAAGGTCAGCAACAATCATTCAATCACAATCGAGGGGTGCGAATATAGCACTTATTACAAAAGTAAGAGTCATATTATTTTTATTAATTACATTGTGTATATTACTTTAAAATTTGCCTGACATGCCACTGTTGTCATCAAATAAAATAATATGCTGAAATACATTCATTTGAAATATTAAACTAATTTTCATTTGGTTTACCCCTCGTGACGATAAACAAATACATTGGTAGCCTTTTTGGCCACAGAGGTGCTTTCATCGCTAAAAATTTGGTTCGCCAGCTATGCAAAAGAGTGGATCATATTGTTAATATAATATATTTGATTTTCCACTAAATAAATCCTGAGGGAAGGAAAAATTTCTGAATTAAATAAGTTTTTTTTATCAAACAGCAGATCGACAAATTTCTGTCCAAAAATCGTATGATCGATAATAACAACATTATACAGGAATGTTCGAATATCATTTAGATAATTTTTTTGTTCAGGCAGACATTTTGAAGATGTTTTACGTTTTGTGAAGATATTCTTTCTTTTTTTTTATTAGAGAGATTTTTAACCGTTGACTAGTTCATCTCTATAAAGAGGGGGCCCAGAGGGGGGTTTTTCGTGGAAATGTTGTTACGGAGTTGGCTTACACTTCACATGTACTCAAAGAGAAACGATTAAAATAGATTCCAGTAAATGACTAACAATACAGGCAACGAAAATAATGCAATATGGGTAGGATTCTGAACGAGATCAGAGCTCCACCGTAGGAGGAGTAAGCCACCGTCTGGCAGAGATGTCCCGAAAGTAAAAAAAATTAAAAGGACCTAAATGTTGTTGTATAGTCCAGCGTCCTTAAGGAAGTAAAGAACTGTCGCTAAAGTGAAAGGTTCGTCGCCCAGGATGTCCCTAATGCTGTTGGGAAGTGCATATTGCTCCCGCAGATGTTGCTATCATAGAGGTAACTCTAAGATCAGAAGGTCCCGAAGAAACGAGCTCAACTTTTTGGCTCAGCTCTGGTACTATCTTCGGTCCCAAGCTAATCGATGCACCCCTCGAAACATAGGAAAACCCACGAACCCCTCATTTTATCCGTCAAACTTTCATAGCGAATCAAAACAAACATAGGGTAGTACTGGAATTTCGACTAGAATGGGGTACGTTAATCGATTTGCTTGGGTCCAATAGGCTAGTCAAGTAGTGAGCCAATTAAAAATCGTTAGTTTCGAATTGATTGTTGTTGGTATTGCGGACACAGGCATAGGTGTGTTCCACCGATGCAGTGGTTCCGCAAACGTCGCACATTTTGTGGAACTGCGTCCCACCAAAACTATGTGAGATCCTTGTATGGCTTGTCCTTAGACAAGAAACCACCTTCTGGTCCCGTAGTTTTGGCCTCGGTTTCGGCATATCCGTCCACTCGCTCGTCGTTACTTTGATTCTTCGGATGAAGAGGGATTTTGATTGGCACCACTCTACTTCCAAGGCTTCCCACATTTTGTTAACTATCCATCACATAAAGTCTTGCAATCGCACTTCGTCGGTGTAACAAGGGCAAGCTGGTCCAGACCCTGTCAGGCTGTCGGTTTCGCTATTTCCTGTGATACCACAGTGCCCAGGGATCCAGGTGAACACCGTGTTCGGGGGTGTGGCCTCAACGATACCCTGTATCCAGGGGTGAGTCGGGGTATCAGGTGTAAGGGCTTGTATCAACCGGTGGAAACTAACGATTTTAAATTGACTCACTACTTGACTAGCCTATTGGTCCCAAGCAAACCGATTAACGTTCGCATTCTAGTCGACATTCTAGTACTACACTATGTTTGTTTTGATTCGCTATTTAAAAGTTGGCAGACAAAATGAGGGGATCGTGGACTTTCCTATGTTTCGAGGGGTGCATCGATTAGCTTGGGACCGAAGATAGTACCAGAGCTGAGCCAAAAAGTTGAGCACGTTTCTTCGCGACCTTCTGGTCTTAGAGTTACCTCTATGCTTGTATCACGCTGTACGAATCAGATAGCACCAGTTTGTGCCGGTCCGAGGGTGTTGTAACGGCAACAAACATGGCCGTGGCTTCGGCGGAGAAAACCGAGCATTGTGGCGGTAGGCTGCTACTCATCGGTGCTGAAATTATAACTACTCCAATTCCGACCCCGGCTCGGGAAAGTGATCCGTCCGTGTATATGTGGGCATGGGTTGGGTAGTCCGGCTACTGTTCTCCTCAGCGCTGCAAAGCTATCTCCAGCCTTGAACCTGCTGTTTATCCGACTCTCGATTTTTGGTGGAGGTATGCGCCAACTTTTGTCTCCGTACCAGTGGACCTTGGCCAGTGGGGGAGATCCGAATTGGCAGCCGTGCGGAGGAGTCTGTTCCTCTCGTCGTCCTACCCCTGTCATTTCCGGAGGTCATTTCTGTAGAACTGCGGATATTTTATGAAATGTTGATCTAGGAGAAAACTTCCGAAAGCTGCTTAAGTCTTTAAATTTAAGCAGATTTTTGTTATAGATTAGAAGATTTTGACTTGATGGTTTAGCCTCTTTCATGAAAATGTTGATTATGAATTATAACTTCTCTGTGGTATAACCAAAATAAGTGTTTTTTTGTCAGTATAATACTTTGCTGGCCTGAATATACACAGGAACTTAACTCTGGAGTTGTAGAGCTGGAGATATTTTGAATACTTGCTGATCAACGAGCCATTTTGGGAGAATACCTGAGAGAAGACATTTGAATTTTTGAACAGTTGAAGATCTTCACAATAATACTTGATTAACCAATAAAATACTCAGAGCCAAACATAATGTAGTACTAGAATTTCAACTAGAATGGAGTACGTCAATCGATTTGCTTGAGACCAATAGGCTAGTCAAATAGTTAGCCAATTTAAAATCGTTAGTTTCCACCGGTTGGTTTTACTTCAAGCAATTGATATAATAGGATCAGAGTTCACAGTAGATACGCATAGAGTAAAGGGTGATACGGTCAAAATTTGGTCAATATCAACTTGACGTATTTCTTTCAATTTTGCATTTAAAAAACCTGAACACCCCTCATTTTGAAGGTGTGTGTGTGTAGAATGTTGCTCCTATTTTGATTTTGGAATTCACTCTTCAGTTGTCAAAATGCCGTCCAAGCAAGAAGAGCAGCGTATCAAAATTTTGCTCGCGCATCGCGAAAATCCGAGCTACTCGCACGCAAAGTTGGCAAAATCGCTAAAAGTTGCCAAATCAACCGTTACAAATGTAATTAAAGTGTTTGGGGAACGTTTGTCGACAGCCAGGAAGTCTGGATCGGGGGGAAATCGAAAACCGGAAGCCGCTGAGACGACAAAGAGAGTTGCCGGTAGTTTCAAGCGAAACCCTAACCTCTCTCTCCGAGATGCCGCAAATAAGCTGGGTGTATCGTCTACAACCGTGTATCGAGCCAAAAAACGAGCCGGACTATCGACTTACAAGAAGGTAGTGACTCCAAATCGCGATGATAAACAAAATACGACGGCCAAAGCGCGATCCCGGAGGCTGTGCACGACGATGCTGACGAAGTTTGACTGCGTGGTAATGGACGACGAAACCTACGTCAAAGCCGACTACAAGCAGCTTCCGGGACAGGAGTTTTATACGGCAAAAGGAAGGGGAAAGGTAGCAGATGTTTTCAAGCACATGAAACTGTCAAAGTTCGCAAAGAAATATCTGGTTTGGCAAGCCATCTGTACCTGTGGCTTGAAAATCAGCATTTTCATAGCTTCCGGGACTGTCAACCAAGAAATTTACGTGAAAGAGTGTTTGAATAAACGTCTGCTGCCTTTCCTGAAGAAACACGGTTGTTCCGTACTGTTTTGGCCGGATTTGGCATCTTGCCATTACGGTAAAAAGGCCATGGAGTGGTACGCCGCCAACAACGTGCAGGTGGTTCCCAAGGACAAGAACCCTCCCAACACGCCAGAGCTCCGCCCAATTGAGAAATACTGGGCTATTGTCAAGCGGAACCTAAAGAAGACCAAAAAAACTGCTAAGGGCGAGCAGCAGTTCAAGGCAAACTGGCTTTCTGCGGCGAAGAAGGTGGACAAGGTGGCTGTACAAAATCTGATGGCAGGGGTCAAGCGTAAGGCCCGGCAATTCGGATTTGGAAAAGCGGAAGCCTAACTGAATATTTTTCCTGAATTTTATACTAATTGAAATTGAAAAAAAAATTAAATTTGATTTTTTAAATAAACGATTTCACCGATTTACACGCGTTTTCCCTTGACCAAATTTTGACCGTATCACCCTTTAGATAAATCACAACATTTGAATTCACACTAATTAGTTTTTTCATTGTAAGTCTGAAATGATCAACGATTATTTCTCTTTTCGTTTTTGTGACGCAAATATAGGATCAGCTTTTTGTCTAAATACAAATTTACTGTGTTTTACGTATCTATATGAACCAAAAACTCTTTTCTATCAGTTGCTTTAATATAATATATATTTAGTCATAATTGGCATACACAGTTTTGGTCACAAACTGCTCATTTGCTAATAACTTTGCACACAGTTGACGTCACATAGTTCTTTTTATAGCAGTAGATAGAATAGAGTTTAAGCTTGTTATAGATATGTAAATAAAAGTGGATTTTAATTCTAGTAATAAACTGTATTTGTTTTTGCGTTGTAAAAATGAAGTGAGAAATGCTCGCTGCACATCTCGGACTGTAAGTGTAAAAAATCATTGGTGTTGATTCAAATGTTAAGATTTACCTATTCTTTGCATATCTATAGTAAACTATGATCCTAATCTATCAATTACTTTAAAGAAAAACAAATTTCACCAACTGAGTGAAAAGTTTTCAACAAATGAGGTGTACAACTGTGTATGCCAAGCATGTATTTAGTCAATAGTATATGTCCAAAGGAAAGTCTCGTCTTTCTTTGACTCAATGTATCGTGTTGGCAAATTTGTGCCTAGGAATGCTCTTCTAACGTTTTATCATGGCTGCATCTAGCTTTCCACGCTCGGTAATGGTGGTCTGCACGGGTTTTAAATTACATGGTTCACTGTAGTTTTTGACACTAACTGGCGTTTTGACTTTTCACTCCTCCCTTTCCCTCTTCAGAATACAATGTGACAACCAGCTAGTTTCAAAAATTACAGTGAACAATGCGGTTTAAAACCAGTGCATGCCACTTTCTCATATGCAGTACCTAGCCATCGTTAGGGGACATGCTTGCAAAACAAAGTTGGTAAAATTTCAAGTATTGCAAAATAGATGCTTAAACATCATCCATCACCTACCGCAATTGTATTTCACTCTTCAATTCTACACATATCGCACAGAATTTTCCTTTAAACAAGTATTAAAACCAGTATTGTGTAAACAGTTCTGTGTAGCGGCACTACAATAAAAAATCAACGAGTTTTTGACATAAGTTCGTGTCAACTACTAGAAAGTTCATAATAAAAAAGTGCACTTTTCTACACACAATATAATTTATTAAATTGCATATCTTAATTATTAGAGTCATTTATGAGTTAGGGATCTCTTTGAAGGAACTTAATTCTACTGGGTTCATCCCAACTTCATTACTGAAGTTTATTTTGTAGATAGCTCATCACACACCTGAAAATTGTTAGTTTATGTTAGATTTGTCATTTCTTCTAGTTATTTTATTTATTTTTTCTTGGTTACTATTTGTCCTATTATAAAGCTATATTTTATTTGTTTTATTCAAATAAATTTAAATTTAAACGAAGTGTGAGTTTTGGTGTGGTAGTATCTAGGTGGGCCTAAAAAAATGTCATAGTAAAAATGAATAAGGAACATGGGAAACATAGCAACAAATCTAAACTTGTTGAAAAAACATTCAATTTTGTCCGCTCTTAACCCACTATGTATAGTAGTCTGAACATAAAGGGTGATACGCTCAAAATTTGGTCAATATCAACTTGACGTATTTCTTTCAATTTTGCATTTAAAAAACCTGAACACCCCTCATTTTGAAGGTGTGTGTGTGTAGAATGTTGCTCCTATTTTGATTTTGGAATTCACTCTTCAGTTGTCAAAATGCCGTCGATGACGATTTATGTTCAGTAGTTATGAGTAGCTTTTATTTACGTTTACAAGACTAACTTATGCGATACACTTCCGCGTACGAACCGATAGCTATGTTGATTGCGTATTTTTATTTGTCATATCGACTCACATCTCGTCTCTGAATAATAGGTGTATAATGGTTGCATACGTTTAGGCGCAAACAATTACTAAATGCTGAGAAATGCAATTTAGAAAATTAAAGCACTGCATTCATCTTCACAGTTCAAGATCAAATTAACTCACAATTCATAACCTGATCAGATAAACCTAACATATCATAAAAAATACCGATCTAATTCATAATACTTCTAAAATGGCGCCTGATATACGTTATTATACGTTATTTGTACGCGTTCTTTGTAGTAGTTTGCCTTGGATTCCGTATATCTTGCCAGCTTATCGGCACTGATCGTTACCCGATCCGACCTACAATGGAAAAACATCGTGTGAGATTTACCATTTACCTTACAAATCAACCCATAAGCATACTTCTCTACTGCATCGTTGCACAGTTCGGCCAGTTCGGTAAAAAGTTCATCCAATCTATCTTTCAGCGACATGATTTCGACGCATTTTTGATTGATCTCTTTTATGTGGAGCCCGGAAAGATCAGGTTCGAATGCCGCCTTCATTCCTGCCAGTTTGTTCACCTTTTGCTCGAAGTCGGACAACGATGTGTTCAGCTCCTGATGTAATTTGGCGCTGAATTCGTCAATCATCATAGCGTCCATTGCAGGAGGATTGTTGAATAGAGCCGCCTGTACGATCGATCTATTAGTTTTATTCTGGTTCCCTGCACCGCTGGTCGAAACATGTTTCGTTGAATTCATGTCGTTGGCACGCTTTTCCGAATCCTTGCGTTCTTCTTGGTTATTGCAATCAAAAAGAACCGGCTGAGCCTTCGGCGTGGCTGGATAATACGGTGGTTGCGTCTCATTCAACACAACGCTACCATCTGACAACTGCAAATCAATCGAATCATCTCTCCATGATAGAGGATTGGCAGTATCATGGCCAACGCGAATATTTTCACTGAGGATAGACTCATTGCCATCGTTTGGCAGCTTGGTTGCCAAATGGGCAGGAGAAACCTCTTCGTCGCTGTTATAGGTTGGATCGTTGTTCGAAATGAATTTTTTCAGCGTGTACCGATTAGCAGCGTAGTTCATATTGAACTTCGAAGCGAACACGTCAGCGTTAGTTTTTGATTGACTTTCAACCGCCGGGACGGGCAGAGGACTTGGATTGACTTCGAGGGACTGTGAAATCGGTTCATCGCTATCGAAGCTTTGGTACTGGCGAATCATGGCTTCCGTCAATGTAGGC